TATATTGTCGCATATCTGTGATGGCTTGTCATCACATTTAATTTACTATGCATTTTAATATGGCTAGGGCACAGTACCTTCTTATTGGTAAGAAAGTGCAGGTGCCCTGACTTCGTTGTTTAGATAAATATTAATATATACCATAACAGATAGCACTATACGTAGTTAGGTATATATGTAGGTTTGGATTATGTACGTCCCGACTTTTGGATGTTGTGATGATGGTTGACGGATCACAGAGACGTGCTAACAATACCACTGCGCTCCCGAAGGTCGCTGGAACAGTCACCTGATCGTTGTTGTTTAAATTAGTGTCGTAAAACGTTTTCGGACTGTTAATGAGAAACGTTGTCGCTCTGGTAATAACTAGTTGTACCGCCTGTCATATAGTTGCAGATGGCTGTGCTTAGACTAGAACTATTCCAAGGTTGCAAGTAACGCCCAGCTTCGTGGTTGCTACCTCCTCGGGGTGCATTCCAAACACAACCTACGCCGGCTAGACTAAATACAACCTGCACGGGTTGACTAATAAGCAAAAGTAGACGCCAGAAGTCCCTCCCTGCGATGCTGCATCTCTTCATCACTAACTCTCCTTCTATCTCTGTATCATCAGGCATCTCTCTATCAGCTCTCTCCCTGCATCATTACGGCAGGAGCGAAAGTGAAATTTATTGTACTGCTTAATGTGCTGCGCTATATCGCACATAGTTTTTGCATAGTTTTGGCTACTAACTATGATTTTTGCCAACCTTGCAGTTATAAATCAAATAATGTGCTGGTGTTTACCTCTTACTAACCCATTTCACTGATGCCGCTCTGAAGTTGATCCATAAATGAGCTACTGGCAAAATAAATATTATGGATAGCGTGGAAGAAATATTCGGTTTAGAGAAAGGTTTTATATAATAATCACGGTGATTTTAAAGATGTTAAAATTCTCAAAACCCAGATGAAATTGCATATAGTTCAATATAGGTACTATGCGATAACGTAATATAACGCAACCAAAAAACGTCAATATTGTTGATTGTCACTATTTAGTAGTATATAGTATTATTAGCAGTTTTATAGTAACAGCACCGTTTAATAACTTGTGAGAGCAATGACAACACACATTAGCACTTGCTCATTATTTTTCAGAAAATGAAGACAAGCGTATTGCTCGCGTTGCTAGCACTCTCCTGTGTGAGTATACCCAAGCGGAAACTGCTATAATACGATAGTTACATACGATGTATAATCATTGCGTTAGCATTTGTCAATAAATATCGAAAGTAATATTTAAATATCAAAATAAATGTTATCATCATACGAAATTTAAGAGTCGTCTTCATGAATTTATTATAAATATAAGGAAATATCTACTCATCGTCAATATGTTAGTATATTTAATTTTTTAAGGCGTGATGCAGTTCTACAAGGACTATAAGAAGCGCAAAATCTATGCATAGATCATAAGATCATGTCACCCATTATGCCCATTATTTTTAGCTCGTGATGGCAAAATGAAGCAGCCTACTGCTGAACCAGTTGTATAAATATATTTCGTGAATAACGGCGCATATTTTACAGATTCAATATCACAGTGACTACTTTAATTAACGATGTTCAGTATGCAGTTCATAAACGTAATCCTATCTGGTCCATGCGCTTTCATCTGACTCTGATCACAAAGACAACTATTTTAAATTAATGTGATTCTTTTATAGGCGATCTCATTCGCCAGTACGTCATACGTCTACGCCACCACAGGCCTGTACAGCCGGCCATGCTACATTTACGGAAGACTTGTGTCCTCGTATTACTGCAATCGGTATAACAACTACCCGAGCTATGGCTATAGCTACTCTAGCTACGGTGGATACCCTTTCCTGTGAGTACCTGTACTTATCCATATTGATAGTTGAACCGCATAATATGTTAAAAAAAATTGTATCTATTTTAGATAGATCTCGCAGATATTCAGTGACAATCGCACGTAAATTGTAGTAAACAGTTTTGTTTTCTATCCGCGAGTCTAGATGTTTTCATACGAATTAAATATTCGGTGTACATTGCAGTGGGGGTATAGGCTACGGAGGTTACGGCGGCTACGGGGGCTACGGAGGTTACGGCGGCTACGGAGGCTACGGAGGTTACGGCGGCTACGGAGGCTACGGGGGCTACGGCGGCTACCGTCGCTACGGGGGCTACGGGGGCTACGGCAGAGGCTTCCGTGGAGGATACCGTGGCGGATACCGTGGAGGATACCGTGGCGGATACCGTGGAGGCGGATACCGTGGAGGCGGATACCGTGGAGGCTACCGTGGCGGACACCGTGGCGGATACCGTGGCGGATCCCGTGGCGGATTCCGTGGGGGAAGCCGTGGACACCGTGGTTGAATGTCACCAGCCGATTGCCATATCTACACAGAGACACACACGTATACGCCTATAGCATACCAGTCTTGGATAGCACATAGAGAAACTTAGGGCACATAGAAATAGTACTTGATTTCTTGTTGACAATACCACACACGCGCACGCACACACACACACACGCACGGACGCACGCACGCACGCACACACACACACACACACACACACACACACACACACACACACACACACATATATATATATATATATATATATATAATATATCAGGGCCGTAGCCTGTGGAGGAAAGGGGGGCAGCTGCCCACCTTCCTAGATTTTGGAGCAAAATTTAAAAAATAAGCTTAGCTAATAATCGTAAATAACCCTAACGTGATTTTTTGGTCACTTATCTGTGAAAGCCTTGTCTCAGACTCAGCCCTACCACACTATGGACGTCGATCAAGAGCTGCGCCCGTCGCTCATCATTACACAGTTGAGTCATGAAATTTTGCCCCCGCCCCTAGGAATTTGCTCAGCCTACGGCCCTGTATATTATCAAGAGCTAATAATACCTAATGGAGGTATTATTAGCTCTTGATATTATATATATTCTTTATTAGAAAGCCTCATTAATTAAGTAATTCCGGTGAATCACACCTATGCAATTGGCACCCTATTGGTTAAGATTTCTATGAGTGCGTTTATGTATATTATTCTTACTAAATAATTCTCAGGATGTTGTACATGGTCTGTAGATTCGTATACTTGAGAACGCATCAGTTGTAATTAGTTATTTTTATAAAGTCACTAACCCAAATAATCCAGTCGTTCAGATATTCCGCCTCCCTTACATACGCAGTGTTGATAGAGAGCGCCTTGAATTCAAGCTCATATAAACCCTATGTATCTACACATTAAGCCGTAGCTCGATCTCTTACATCCCGTCTGACATGTGTTGGTATATTGCGTATCGTAATAAAACGCTCCATCTCCTGCATCGCATCAACATTATGTATGTATACGAGATAAAACGGACGCCTGTACATATACTAGCTCTGCTAGATGTTAAATTACTGTATACATTATAAACCATTTTTCTATTATAGACATCTTTAGTAACAAATCAGTGTGATGGGGTATACTCATCTTCAGATGGTAATTGCTGATATCGAGTAGCATTTACAAATAAAATAACATTGCAAGCATACATATATTCGCTTATATTAGTATCGTTATTACGTTATTTATATTGTATGTAGGAGACCCGACAACATCGAAACGTTTAGTCATGAGAAATATAATGCAAGCAAGTAACGTGTGCGTCGGTCTGTAAGGCGTATCTTATAGAATTCGCGCACGGACTTACAGCAGTCAACTCCGATTTATCTACATACATAAGATTCTGAAATTATCTCCACGCGGGTAACTAAATTCTGCGATGCGATATAGACATATTTAGCCTACTACTGTACAAAAGCTCATTAAAGATAAGGTAATATTAGATTCCTTTCTGGTGTTCACACACATACGCGCGCACCTATGCACACATACGCGCCCACCTATGCACACATACGCGGAAAATTTGGGGGTTGGGAACGTAGTTAGTTATACTTGCTAAGGCAAATATAGGACTTATGGCTGGCTCCTAGTATAGCATATCACATCGACAAGACGTCACATCAAGGTGACGCCTAGCGGCACATCGAGCGACCACTCAACATGGTGGTGGCCAGTGGCCACAACGATTTTTCCCAACTGATCTGCATGTCAATGGGATTACGTATCATATCCTATTTCCACATGACGATTATTTACTAAAAGCGACCTTTAGTACGTATTAAGTCAAATATAACTCCTAATTAGTCAGATCACTGCTACCACTCGGGAGGGGGGGGGTATTTAAACAGCTATACACACTTAGACGTGATGCGGCCATGATGCCGAGGCGCGCCGAGGATTGACACGTTGTGTCTTCCAATCACAGCCTACGCCGCACCAGACTTTGATATTTTTAAAGATGGGGACCCATTGGACCACCAAATCGCCGATCTCAGGAACTTCATAACCATTCTGCTATGTTAGAACGGTTTCCTACGATAGAGTTTGCCACAAATACGAAAATAACACGCTGTTTAGCGCACTGCGCTACGTCCTTCTGTTGCATTTTCGCATCTCCGTAATCAGAATAAGCCCCGCCTTCTTCGTTGATGGACATAAATGGGGCGTCACCGACGTGACCAGTTACTGTACCTACTGTCTTTCGCCAGCCTGTTTACTTTTCGTAAATAATGAAATGCCCGGCCGATGCATTTCGCATCGAAGTGGAAAATTTTCGGCATTTTCACTTGCTTTCGGAAGTGAACGAGTGCGTCATTCATTGAACATTGAAGTTTTTCTTCAAATTAAATAATTCCAATAATTCCTAACCGCGCTACTCGATTGTTTTAGCCAATGTGAACGTAGCTGTGTGTGTGACGTCTTGCCCGCGCGCTTTATGCTTGGCTTAGCGGGCCTCGAAATAGATATCGGAGGCAGGCACCTCGCAACACGCATGTTTCTTTACATATAGCTTTGTGACGTACGGTGTTCGGGAGTTCTGTGATGATAACTTCGTAATTTCTCAGCATTTCTTAAGGTGCATGGAACATTTTACCAATTTTGTGGTGTCAGTTAGTCACGGATATGTCACAGTAAGTACTAACCGTATGTTTCACATACGTTCACCTATTTTGCACACAGGCGGTCGATCATTGTGAAAAATTGTGTGAATATTTATTTTTATTGAGACGTTCTAAGTGCCTGTGCTTTCAACAGTCTTGTACGTCAATGCACGTGCGTCAAGAGTCACAAACTCAACACAATTTCATCTCTGTTATTGTTGACGCCTGAATGCGTGATTGATCAGGGAGGGGGTGCATGTAAGAGAGAAACATTTTCTTTGGGGTTCCGAAAAACACAATTCCACTTGACAATTTCATGGGCCATTTCAATTGGAAGCTCTGCATAATGGACCACCAACAAGCCCTTTGACTGACTAGTCAAGAAATTGAAAGGTGTGTATATTGCTCTTATTTAGCCGCCGATAGTTCTTATTTAGAACAAAGTCTTCATTGTTATCTTCTACAACTACAGACCACCCGCTGACCGCTGTGGAGACGTGCGCCGGGCCTCGAATTTGGCGCACGTCTCCACTGCGGACAGCGCTTCATACTTAAGCATCCCCGCGGTCGCGTGCGCATATCCCGCGGAACTGCGCGTCTCATCCGCGCGCAGCGTTCAGGATCCACAGCAAAGCTGTGCCACGCAATCTTGTATCATGTCTCTCTAGATAGCATACCGAATATATATAGTATGTGAAATAAAGTTCTCTGCTGATTATCACGTTGCTGGGTATGAGAGACGTCAGGAAAGTATGAATGTATACTGTATAGCGTGAATGTTGTAACTTCACAGGCGCGGGAGTATAGCTCGGTAATAATTAAACCAGTGTCTACGTAAATACGAGTAGGGCACAAAGAAAATTAAATAACAAAAATCCACTAGTCAAACGTGTATTTAATTGTTTGGATGCGAAAGTTTGTATGAAACGTTCGCATGTACCTTTACTATTAGTTTAACATGCTTTATATTCGCTATTATATTTATTTATTTACTTGATAGATATACCATACAAATGGGGTTGATGCAATTCTTCAGCTTAAAGATTTAATAATTAATTAAAATACCAGCCTTAGCAGCGTTAGCGAAATCCATGTATAAACTGGCCAATTAAATAATTTTTTAATTAATCGAAAATTAATGTACTTGCTAAATTCATTTCAATATTTCAATGACATTTGTTATGCAAATCAGATCAATTTAGCCAAGATCATCCTAAACGTTTTATCGGGTTTTAAGGATCCATATCGAACTTCACCATGATACAACAGATCTTTCTTCGTGGCATCTAACACTTCCCTGCAAAAGAACAATATTAATTTAGAGAGAATTAACGTGTCTAACCTAATATTAGCTTTGGTGTACTTGTGCTTACGGTGACATCAGGCTGTTTCACACGAGGGGCGATAACAATATACATATTCAAACAAACACGTTTAGGCCTATATCTTATCATGGTAAGGACGCATACGCATGCGAGCGAACAGAAGTTGATTCGTAATCAGTGATGTCTCATCTAATATAAACAACACGAGCGGACATTATAGATAAAGACCGTCTGGCAGGCGTCTTCGTACCTCTTCGCCGTATGGCAAGTTTCACATCAGAACTGTTTTCTTGTTTCAACGCCCACGCGTAGCAGAGTCCGCATTCATTGTCGTATGTTACGCCATCGGTTCCACACACCTGCGAATCCGATGTGACACGCACAGTTTAGCTAGCGGGTTATAGGGATTTGTCACACATGCAGTTAGATAGACATATGCAGTCAATTATATACTTCCTAGCACGCGTTGATCTGGCCAGAGCTGAAATGCTGTGAAAATTTAATGTTTCGCCGACAATTTTTTATTCTCACCTACAGTGAATTATTATAGCGTTCTCTTCACCTCGGAACGTTTTTTTGTTGTTGATAATTTACAACCGCACACATGGGTGCAGCACGCACATGCATACTGTCCCACACATGCGTACACACACGTGCACTATGTATATTTACTAACTAGCCTATACAAATGTGCCGCGTATAGGTATACCGGATCAATATTTCTCGGGCAAATTCCCTTCAGTGCAGCTTCTGAGCAGATCGGCTCCTCCTCCCCATCATTTTGCTTTTTAGCACATTCACCTGCCAAAGAAATCGGTTTTATATTGCGAGCACCAGCAGACAGAAAGAACGCATTTTCCTAGATAAGCAACAACAGAAAAACAACCATGAATATTATCTCACGGACACGTTAAATAAATGGCATATATATAACAATATTCCTATCTTACATATATATCGTATACAATTAAGATTATATGCGTGTTACAAAGGCAGCATGCAGGTTCTTCAGAGAAAATAGGTATATACCACTTTAATTCGTATTACTTTGGTTTTGACGGACAGTCAATTCCCTCGCTTGATTTTACCTCAAAGTGCTATTAGTGATTACATTTTTACAGGCAATGACGCGCCGCTCATAACAACGGTCGACAGAGTAGATTTCTCACCTCGTCTGGCTATCCTAAGACCAGCCATCTTGACACGCTGCATACACAGCATGCACTCGTTTCCATAGTTTTTGCCGTCAGTGCCGCACACTGGTTTGTATTCCCGCGTACACATCGGACTCGTTTTACACACGGGCTCCTCTGAGGTGTCCTTCAGCGCCATTCTTGGCTGTTTCTTCTTTATCTCTTCAACCTTTTCCTCGCATGGTCCCGCGCGTACCTGTATTAAACGCGCAATACCGTTCGTTGCATCACATCAGTACGGATTTCATTCACATTAGGTTACGTCTCCACAACACCAAAAACGCCTAAATATGAAAACATGAAATGTCAATGGCTACGGCCGTTTTAAGGAAGTTTATAACAGCAAGCTAAATACATGTAAATATAATAACAGCGTTGGTTTAGTTACAATGTCTAAACAACATACAACGATAAACAGACGCGCGGATATAAGTGACACGTTTAGTTAACGTTTGGCTAACGCTATGAATTTGAAAAGCAACCAAATATGAGTGCCTACCATAGACTTACGTGGTATGTGGGTTTAAAGGTATGACTATTCACGCATACGGTTTCCCACGTTATTAGAGACTATTTCACTTATATTATAACCGATTATCCATCATCAATTAATGGAATATATTATATATATATTATATAATATAAATATATATATATATATATAAATATATATATATAATATAAATAAATATATATATATATTTACCATTTTTATGATAGTTTTCCTTTCACAACTGTCCATCTCTAGTTCACATTCGTTGTTATAGGTGCGGCCATTGCTCCCACACACTGGGGCATAATTCCTCGGACATCCCCGCCTACACGCGCTCTTTCCCTCCTTCCCAAGCACTAGTGAGACAATTAGAGGAACACACATATAGTTAAATCAGTTATATTATATATATAGCGATTCATTACACGCGAAAGTTCATATATTTATAAAACCATCCATAAAGCTTGTTGTTTTTATAATCCTATTGGTGGGGGCCATGCTAAGAATTAACTTGAGCTCTAGGCCTACATATGAGTTAACGGGTTTAGCTGTGAATTGGCTATATAAATGACATACGCATATACGATAACTTTCTTTGAACGCATATCCAAATTATTAGTCTACGTAAAACTTTAGAATACGTACCTGCTACAAGTATCGCACACGCAACTGCGAAATGCAACTTCATGACGCTCGTGGTTAGCTGTGGCACTGAAATCGAGAACTACAACTATATACTAAACCTGCACGTGGTATATCGCTATTTATCTATAATGGTCATGCCATAAATATTACTAGATATTTGAACACCTGGGGGGGATATATTAAGGAACATGCATGTCGACATCATTATAAACGACAGGTGCGGTAGTTTACACGGTACGTACGTACGTACGTACGTACCGTTCTATAAAAAACAGGTTATTTCTCCAGGGGTTTGTGGACATATGCACGCAGTAGAATATGCGGGTGCACCCCTGACCGTATAATAAGGTACGCGGTTAGTCCTATCGTAATGCAATCTCCAATCCGCGCTGGCGCGTCATTGAATATTTACCAATAGGGCCAATGACGTCATCTTCTTGTCTTAGAGATAAATCCTGCACGTAAAACGTGGGTAATGCTATCCCCCGGGCGTGGAGGGAGGTGACCGCAACGTGGCAGCACTAGTGTTAGGATAGTGTTAGGATTAGGGTTAGGGTCAGGGTTAGGGTTAGGGTTAGGGTTAGGGTTAGGGTTAATTTTTAATTATTAATTTTAAGGGTTAGTGATAGTGTTAGGGTTAGGGTTAGGGTTAGGGTTAGGGTTAGGATTTTTGCATCATGATATCTGTCCCCACACCATAGATTAATTTTTGTGGATAACACTGCCTATATATAGCGCGGCGACACATATATATTTAGTGTGAGGATTAGTGTTGGCGGTGTTGGAGTGAGGGTTACCGTTAGGGTTAACTTTTTGAACGTCATCGTCAACGTTATCACGTGACCTCCCTCCACGCCCGGGGGATAGCAACACCACTGATCTCTATAATATAATCTCGATTATATTATAGAGATCAGTGAGCAACACCCGTAAAACGTGAGCCATTTGATGTAGTACTGCCACCTAGTGGTGGCATAAACGCTGCTACACGAGACAAATCTCCGAAACACGATATATCAGCCTAAATCGTTAATATATACATATTCCTATCTACATTTTTATTTGTTCAAAGTATACTTATCTAGAAAGCCAGGTGCACTGAACTATTCGTGTTTATTTTACTTATTCACTTTTTAATTTGTATTTCTGCTTAATGTGTAGTAGGCGATACATAAAATGATAAAAATGCTATTTCCATTCAATCATTTAATTAAGCAATGTAGAAGACAATTTTCAGTTTATATACACTCCAGCACATCACATGGTTGCACTAGTGACTAGTCAATGATATTAACATTAGAAAATACAATAGGTACGTGTCCATTCATCTTCTTATGCACGCCATATCCTCCACGAGGATCTTTCGTGTATAACATTACATTTTTATGATAAATATACAGTTACACAGATGAAATACCACTTGGATCCAGTAAGGCAGACAGAATACACAGTAGGAGACATCAGACATGTAGTTTACAAATCAATTGTATACTCACGCAATGTCGAACACAGAATAAAATGTGTTGCAAATGTTACTACTACAATCATTTTATGGCCATCCTCATAGCATATTATTTAAGATGGTTGCAGCAGTTATAACAATAGATACTTATAATAATATATAGTAAGTTAGTAACTATGTACCATTACCAGATTAGCAATTACCATAAGCCATGAGTTTACACTGTTTTTATAATGATCAAGATGTTTAGATGATGTTTTTATGATGATGAATCATGTAAAATTTATTTACTTACTCCAAGTGTATTATTATAAACAGGACTGTTCCTGTTAGTGGTTAAGTCATGCATGTGTACTTTTCCAGGTTAACTATTTACAAAATGCTACACGGTCAGTTTGTAAACAATGATGAGTACAAAAATAAACAATTCATTTGTCATCTAATGCAGAGGCTAGGTCTGTCAACTTTATGTTCTCTAAATTTACAGTAGAGTCCATGCTCTCATCTTTGGCTGCCGCATGCCATTGTTTTCCCTTCTTCTTCTTTTTCTGCATATTGGTGTGTTGGAACCCTCGTCCAATCCCATGCCCGAAGGAAATTTTCTTTGGAAACCTACATGCACCAAGAATGCAATAACATGCACAAATTAAAACTCCCTTTTGTGAGATAACACATTGTTTAATTTAGTGTAGTAAATAAGTCTTGTTAATTATGTTAAATTTAGTGTAGTAAATAAGTCTTGTTAATTAGAACGATCTAACATGCTATCATTCCTGTAGACAATTGATAGCATGGAGAATATATGATAATAGTTACATAGGCCACGTAGTAGTGAATTGAGTAAGCTGACACTCTATGAGTTGAGAGTATGTATGTATGGAAGCGGCATGGATCATATTTTGTTTTTAACAGTGATGTTTTGACCTAGCATTTTAATACGGATTTTTCCAGGAATCTCTATTAACAGGAATGTGGTTCAAACTACACAGTTTATATGTGGAGATATTTACACAAATGGAGATACTGACCTTTGCAAAGCTCTGTTGTCAACAAATGTTGCATCTCCTTCTTTCATTCTTTCATTCTTTGTGTCACATTCCATTGCTACTCCTTGCTGTTTCTTTCCCACCTGAGGTTTTCTGAAAACCAACGGTAGTTACTCTGAACCACAATGTTTATAACAAGTAGAGTATGGAAAAAGATTTTGACGTTTAACTTAGAGGCATTATGGGAGATAATGCTGAGGTTTTACTCACTGTGTCTTTGCAGATGAAGACCTGAAGAACCTGAAATCTGTTGGATAGATGTGATACGCCGTCACATGCGACCATCGCTGTTCCGAGTCCTTAAAGACAATTGAGCAACCTTCCACTATACACTGGAACTGAAAATGAAATGTAAATGGTAATCTTTACACATTAACTAGGTGCACATAACGACGTAGAAAGAGCCGAGCGCCCATTATCATGAACTTGCTATACGTAAGCATATGTTTAAAACTCATATCGGGTTATGGGAAGTATCAAAAGGATCCTGTAGGAAATTTTTGCACAAAGTACCAGGCTCAACGTGTTATTTTTTAAATTTAAGACAATTTGAAAGAATGAAGCATTTTTACAAAAATATAGCATTACGTATGAATGCTGAATCACTAAGGCTGATCTCACACACAACTGATTGTTTTTACTATATTAAATTCTTTATGTTTACAGTTTTAACCTAAAATTTGATAAAGTGTCTCTTTGTCATTGTGTTATAAGAGTCAAACCTTAGAGAAAAATTAGATCTTTGAAGTCAATAAAAAATGAATGAACTGGCTGGCATGAGTTATCATGCTGAGAGGCATGAGTTATCATGATGAGATTGGTTGGAGAAGAGAATTTATCAAGCAAACGTTTCAGTAAAATTTTCAGTAGAGATTTAGCCTAGCAGGGCTTGCCCTTAACTTTTATTTCAGGTGGCCGGCCGGGCCACTTGAGTATGAGATTCAGGTGGCCAAATGGATTTTCAGGTGGCCCGGTTGCTACATTTATTAAATAGTTTATTTGTATCCTGACTATGGGTAATGTGTTTTGGCAAATAATCGCATAAACATAACTAGATTACGACAACAACAAAGAAAGAACAAAACCCTGGCTGAGTTAAATAAGTTTCCAAATATTAAAAAGCTTTCAAATCCTCTGCCAGTATCTTTATTAAGTAGCAGAACTCATGTCATTAAGATGTCAATCAAAACTGTCCTTCAATCATTCAATGTCAGTGTGACTGTCATCTGAACCTTCTGATGAATCAGAATCAATTTCTGACATGGGGTCAGATCCATCAGAGTCTGGCTCAGCTGCTGGTCTATTTTGCACATCCCTACACCCCTCCCCCCTACACCCTACACCCTCTCTGTCTCTACAGTGTACCATCCCTACACCCCTCCCCCCTACACCCTACACCCTCTCTGTCTCTACAGTGTACCATCCCTACACCCCTCCCCCCTACACCCTCTTAGTCTTTACGGAAGATGTTTTCATCTTGTGGCACCTTCCTCCGACAGTGCCTACACCCTCTCTGAGTCTCTACAGGTATCATCCTACCTCCCTTGTCTGCAATACTGTGTAGTTCATCCCTAACCCTCCCCCCTACACCTTCGTGTCCTCTCAGTGATCATCCCCTAGACTCGTCCCCCTCACCCTTTTCTTGTCTCCTTACAGTGTTATCTAGGCCTAACCTGAGCTCCCCTACACCTCTCGTCTCGACAGATGTTCATCCCATAACCTTACCCTACACTCTCTGGCTTCTACAGTGTATAGTTTCTCCCTACACTGTCGTCCCCCTACACCCGCTGCTCTTACAGAATGGTGATCATTTCCTACACCTCCCCCTACACGCCTCCCTATCTCTACAGTGCTATCTCCTGTGACGCCCCTCCCCCTTACCCCTCTCCCTGTCTCGGTGTAGTGTACTCATCCCTACACCACTCTCCGTGTCTATACAGTGTGTGTCATCCTACTACCGCCGTCCTCCCTCCTACGACATCCTGTCTCGTATCAGTGTCTGACGAATTCCTTAACCTTCGCCATACACCCTCCCTGTCTAGCGGTCGTTAAATCCAACCTCCCTACACCCTCCCTACACCTTTCTCGGGTCGCTCTACAGCGTAGCCTAACCATCGACCCGCTACGCGCCCTCCCTGATGGCTTACAGCCATGATATCATCGCCTACGAACCCTCGCCTCCTTACACCCTTTTCTGTGTCTACAGTGTGGGTCATCCCTACAAACAGCCTACACGCGCGTCGCCTGGTGCGTCTTACAGTTTAGCTATCAGTCCGCGGAGACCTGTACCCTGTCTGCTGACAGTGTATTTCCTACAACCTCCCCCTGAACCCTCCTGTCTCTACAGTGTATCATCACTAACCCCTCGCCCCCTACACCCTTCCCCTGCTCTACAGGTATTCATCCCTACACCCCTCCCTGTCTCTACAGTTGTATCAATCCTAACCCTCCCTGTCTCTCACAGTGTATTATCCCTTACACCTCCCCCACACCCTTCTGTCGCACAGTGTATCATCCCTAACACCCTCTTCTATACATACACTCTGCGATGGTATGTACGCACTTTTCTTGAACTCGTGAGAAATGAATTGCGCAATGACCCACACAGTGATGGGATACGAATGGATTGCACGTGCCACTTACTGGTGTTGATTGAGGCAAGTTAAAGCATTGTTTCTTTGTTGCGATTCACATTCTCAGAATCTGCTTCCAGTAAACCACACGTACACACGCGCGCACACGGGCACACGCACACGCACACGCACACACACACGTACACACGCGCACACGCATATGCACACACACACACGTACACACACACTCGGCAATCAGCAGAGCATCCCCTTACGCAATCATGTGTGTACGTGTCGCAAGATCTCTGTGTGAGATGGATGTCCGGACGCGTAGCCACGGCCTTATTTTTATTGGTGGCCAGCCGGGCCACCAACCCGACAGTTTCAGGTGGCCCGACGCCGTTTCAGGTGGCCATTGGCACCCGGGCCACCGTTAAAGTCGAGCCCTGCCTAGTTAACCTTAAGTGGACCATTCATGAATACTCTGAGGGCACCCTGACCAACGTGCATCAGTGAGGCATACTAAACGAAAATAGTGGCCCTAATTTTGATGATGGCGTCAGCGATGATAATGATTGTGGTATAGAGATATTTTATTACCTAAACATTGCAAAATTATTCTCACCATGTCTTGCTTCATTGTGAGAACATTAAACAGTACATCATGCCATTCAAGTACGTGGATCTCTAGCAGCTGACTCGTTGGGAATACTCGCTTACAGTGCTCACACACGTGTCTGTGACAGAGATTGTAATGACTTTCACTGACACTCATGCTGCTAAATTCTCTTCCACATGCCGGGAGATAACAGAAGAACCCTGCTTGTGAGTCACTGTTTAAAAAAACACAATGTATAACATATATGCACATAGCTAATAGGTATTAATTTACATAATTTAATGGGACACAACACGTACTACGGTAGCCATAAAGTCTATCAGATACTGGAGCGAGGAACGTTGTATGATGACATTCTCTGATACAGTTACATCTATGATCATTAATCACACTCTTGTTCTACTAATTTTTCAACGATATAAATTAACCACTCCAATTCAATGCAAGTATATTATGAAGTATTTACAACTGCCTGTAATCAAGTTATCAGTCGACCATGCATTCACTTCCCCAACTAACCGTACCTATTTAGGCCATTACTGCTTGAATCCATCACCATTGTGACTACTTGCTTCTCCGGGAGATCATTGTGAGCATCCACAACTTGAACCAAGTTATCAAATTCAGAAGGGTGAAGAAAAATGGGGCTGTACACCATGGATTTAGTCTCACTCACACTGCTCTCACTGACAGACTCCTCAACTTCCATCACTCTTTCCGATGTGATGACTGCAAATGAAATATGCAAATTATTAATCATTTAAATAATCTCCAATGGTAATATAGTGATTCTGCATTTTCCATGTAAAATTGGTGCCTTATAGATAGTAACAATTTATAAACTATAAAACTACAGAAAGAGTAAATATAGACTATAGTCACACGTTTTTCAAATAAAACTACTATGTAAAGTAATGTGGTCATGGTGCCACTGTGACAGGGTCACTAATTTGGCTCATAGGGTCTATTTCCCCCAGGGTACTGCAGGGTTATCCTTGGGCCCCACCTTTTGTACGGGTATTGCTCTCTTGAAGATTAAACGTTTACCCTAAACCTAACCCTAACAATAACCCTTAAACCTATTATATTGATATAATATTATATTTATATTGATGTAAATGACATTGGTTTTATTGGGACCCATGTTCTCTATCCTTGAACCAAAGGGGGAGAGTAATGACCAATGTTAATTATTATTACTATTAATAATAGTAATAATAAGGAAGTGTCTAAACAACCGGATCCGGTTTCGGTATCCTGAAAACTAAACAACCGGCTCTCTTCTCTGATTGGCTAATTTTGTCACTATTTCATTTATTATTATTTTTGGCTAATTTTATTTTATTTTAGAATTAGGGATAGGGTTAGGGTTAGGGTTAGGATTATTGTTAGGGTTAGGGTTTGGGTTAGGGTTAGGGTTAGGGTTAGGGTTAGGGTTATAGGGTTAGGGCTGGTATATAGCTCTAATCTTCAAGTTGGTTGCAGTGGCTCAACGGTAGAGCGTTCGCTTCGTGATAGTTAGGTACCGTGTTCGAACCCCATAAGGTGTTTTTATTTTCCTCTGCTTTCTGTATTTCTTTGAATTTTATTTGTTTCTGCATTTATTTGTTCCGTATTCATTTGTTTGTTCTGTAACTTTTGTTTATGTTCGGAATTAAATATATTTCGTTATGTTTAGCATTAAAAATAATTGTCCTGTATAGTTTGAACATAGACCAAAGCTCAGAGAAAAGAGCGGTTAGTTTAGTTTCATGCCTCCGAAACGGTCGTTACGTATTAGACACTAGCCGAAGTGAAAATTTAAAATGTCAAAAAATGTTGGGCAGTCTAGATGGGCATTTGGTCCGATGATCGTGCGCGACTGTTGTGTCTCATAGTATTGCAACGAATGATTGCGAAATTGTGGTTTGAAATAGAAATAGTTTGAAATGTGTGTGTTAACCATTAGTCTTCATTCTGCAAATAGATCAGCATTACACTATGCTTTTGATAAACAATGCTATACAAAATTATGATCTCACTTGTTTCTGGTACAGTCAAATCATCTAAAGTTTAGTTACATTTCTGTAATAATGTAACGATATATGACATGGCGTTTACCATTTAGTTTCTAATAATGGTAGTTTATAAAACTATCTTAACTTTTACTGAAAGGTATAGTCTATTCTGCCTAATGTTAAGCTTCATTTTATCAATTTTTAATAAAAAGCGTAAAAAAATATTTCTCCGACAGAGAAAAGATGTTTTGAGTTTTTATACTTGAAAGACAATAAGCAGTAGTTAGTTGATTAATTTGCCATGGGAATTAGGATAGTAAAACTCATCCAAGAGAATGATTTTTTTTTTTTGTTTTTTTTTTTATTTTGATTGAAAGCTGCAACATGCAAATACATAATTCATCGTAACATAATTCAAATTGGCACTTTTGCTAACAACCCATTACATGGCTTATAGCTTTGCTAAATTCATCCTAGATGAATAACGTGCCTTAGCACAGTGACATGGGGACAGGGATGAACTCGTGAGTCGATTATATACGTTTCGAAATCTGACTAATTTACTGGGAAGATTATCATTTAATAACTGTGTTAATAACTCCAGAGGTTTTACACTTAAATACAGAACGTTTTCCACTTCAGTTAAGGCTCACACTAATACATAAACAAAGATCGAAAAATTGGATATCACGCAAAATTATTAAAGCAAATAGTGCTTTGCTTACCAATCCCCCAAATAAAGTCCCACAGATAAAAATAGGCATAGTAGGCGATTTATCAAAGATAGATTTTAAATAGTTTTCTGAGCCTACATAATGCAGCACAACAGAGACTTCCACACGGACCTGTATGGAAAAAAAATAAGACCGTGACGTTCCTCGAAGTGTCAGTACAAAGAAAAACTCATAAGTTAACGTTCGACCAGCATTTGACGACTTACCGAAAATTACGAATAAGACGCGAAGTCATCATTTATACGAACTTATAGTAGGGAGCTCATGCTCCACACGGACAGTCGATTCGCGACAACACAATAAGTCAAACAATGAAACAATCGGGTCCGTACATCAATTGCACATGCATGCTGACAAACACACGTAACTACATCAATCTAGAGCGGCAAGCGCCACACGCTGGTACTCATGAACACCTCTTTGATTAAAGATAACTTGGACATTTGAGAACATTTGCGTGCTCGTCCAAATTCTGAACACAATACTGGAAAAAAAACGGATATCGCCAAGCCCAATGCTACTAGAAACGAACTAGTTAGATTTAAGCAAAAGGCAGAATCACTACTTATAATGATACATCTAGACTGTACTTACAATTAACACGACTGCTATGCAATATCAAATCCACTGATCCGACAGATAACAGTTACTTACCCAGTATCACGTTAATTTCGCCACCACTCACCAATTGTTCATACTACGCATCAGCATATTCTAACGACTAATGGAGGAAATACTGTTTTGTATACAGCTGATCCTAGGCACGACTTTCCACATAATAGCTTATAAAATGAATACTTAAGCGGGGCTATCCAAGATTACTAGAAAAAACGAAGACTTGACACTCATATTTCTTATCGAATTGACGAGAGTGAAACGATGACAACTTATCGATTTTAATTAATTAAGATATTTCACACCGTAAACTTACCTGATAGATTTCAAAAATACAACGGTTACACACTTTATATAGACCTCGAATATGCTAACTTATCAGCAAGATTCACCTTGTCAAAGTACGCGTGTTCGAATTGAATTCGAGCAATTTCCTCCGTATTACGTTTAGGCCACTGAATGCCAACATCTGATTAGCCAAAAACCTCACTGATATGACGTTTCTGGCACAGTAACTGGAAGCCGCATATGCATGGGAAAACTACTAGACTTAGCTCTAGTAATAGAAAGCTCGCAGATACATGCATATAGGCGATAGCCGGAGCTACCTCGGCTATAGTACTAGAGTATACTATAGTCCTTACTAGCTACATATAGTAAATACAGTAACTACACAGTATACTCAAGAACGTCTTTGCTAGGTTAGAAACCTGTGTGGTCGGGTAGTTTACAAGTACTACACTATACTAATAGATAGCCCGTCATGAGAAACACAACACGCTCACAGGAATGAAATTCCACCTATATTAAGATATATGGCAAAAACAGACAACTTTTGAGGCATTATCACCATTTATGTAAGTACAGACTCATATCGATAGTTCTAATTCTAACAATATCTGACCGAATTTTCAAACTAAAGTGCCATTCAAGCTATAAATATCCCGGTACTCGCGTATTAAACGCCATCATTGTTACTAGCAATTATATTCCCTATTTCTGTCCTTAAAACAAGCCCAAGATAACTATCTGGGCTTGCAAATAGCAGACGCGTAAATTAATGTTGATTAGTCAGCAAAACAGTACACAATATTCAAGGTAGTTCCCATGCCGATTGTAAGACAATTATTGGCTGCCTTTCTGCGCGCTTTTGCATATGTATAGACGTAAGTAAGAACAAAATAACGGTCCTCTACTATCCAGTAAGGATAGCACGCGTTAATAATAATTAATAGTATTATTATTTTGCACATTTTAAATACTCTCTAAAGGTTCTGTCATCTTACAACTTATAAATTTCATACCAGAGTACTCCTGAGTACGTGTTCTCCACACGTGAATAATGTTAACAAAATGATATTTGTATATTTAACAAAAATATAGAATAAAGAAGCACAACATTTAGGCATGAGCCATGATGATGGTTTAGGCATGAGCGCCACTAGCGCCGCCCAACGACAAAGTAAAAAACGAATAATTTCACTCGTCATTACGGGAAATTGTGGTTGTTCCAGTGGCATCAAGGTTTTTCAATTAACCTTTTTCTGAGTCTCCAGTAATTTGTTTAATAACTATAATAGAAATCTAAATATCTACAGGACATGTTAGCTTATAAACTTTGTTACCATAAATATTTATCCATGTTTTATATACGCCAGTATGGCTGCTCCCTTACTTGCTTGTGTTTAGATCACAGCCGCCCACGACGACATGTTTATTTAGCATTTTATTGAAACGCTCCAAGTGTCTGTGCCTGTGCACGCACGCCGTTGTGCAGAAACAAGACTAGTAAGTAGTACAGATAAAAATTTTAAACTGGGTTTCTTCTACATAGGAGGCACTACGGCGCACCGCCGTTGTGAAAATGTTCCTCAGTTCCTGTACTGTAGGCCTGTACCGGCGTATTTGGACGCTCGCCCGAAACTGGACGCTCCTAAGTGCGCATGCGCGCAGGCGCCTCTTGTTTTGCAAGGGCGCACACAGCGCATGCGCAATATGCGCAGTATTCTACTACGAGCATCCAAATTCGCCGGTGTACCGGCGTATTTGGACGCTCGCCCGAAACTGAACACTCATAAGTGTGCATGCACGCATGTTCTTTTGTTTTTCTCTTGTTCTTGCGTCAGCCCTTAGGCGTCTAAGGCGTCAGCCCTTGGTAACACGTACCGTAAAACCCAGTTTCGAACGCGTATCTTACGGACTCCGTACGATACGCGTATAGCGTGACCTTGACTTAAACAGCGTTCACACGTAGTTTTGGAATGTACGTACGTCGCGTTATAGCTGGCGCAAGTAGTAAGCGCAGTGAGCTCATATTTCGTAATCTGGTGGAGAAGGAGGAAGGGGAGAAGGGAGAAGCTGGTGGAGGAGGAAGGGGAGAAGGGGAGAAGGGAGAAGCTGGTGGAGGAGGAAGGGGAGAAAGTGGTAGAGGAGGAGGAGGGGGAGAAGGTTCTCCCTTCTCCACCAGCTTCTTTCCTTCCTTCTCCACCAGCTTCTCCCCCTCCTCCTTCTCCACCAGCTTCTCTCTTCTCCTCCTCCTCCTCCACCAGCTTCTCCCTTCTCCTCCACCAACTTCTCCCTTCTCCCCCTCCTCCACCAGCTCCATTCTCCCTCTCCTTCTCCCCTTTCTCCTTCTCCACCAGGTTCTCCCCCTCCTACTTCTCCACCAGCTTCTCCCTTCTCTCCCTCCTCCTTCTCCACCAGCTTCTCCCCTCCTTCTCCACCAGCTTCTCCCTTCTCCCCCTCCTCCTTCTCCACCAGCTTCTCCCCTCCTTCTCCACCAGCTTCTCCCTTCTCCCCCTCCTCCTTCTCCACCAGCTTCTCCCCCTCCTCCTTCACCAGCTTCTCCCTTCTCCCCCTCCTCCTTCTCCACCAGCTTCTCCCCCTCCTCCTTCACCAGCTTCTCCCTTCTCCCCCTCCTC